CATGTCCGGTGGTGAACTTGTGTTTAAATTGATGACGAACCCATCATATAAAGGCGTAGGGGGCTGCTCTTGTGTAGTTTTCAATCCCATCGATGCCCCTAATGTTTCAAAAGTCAAATCTAAACCCAATGAACTGGAACGATATTGCGGAACATAAGAATAAGTTCTACGCAATAGCGAATACTTCATTCCCTCACTGAATGACCGGGAAGCTTATTATTTTCGCTGAAAGATGAGCACACTAAACTGCGTTACAGCAACTCGGAAGTGTTCTGATTGGTGACATACAAGCCACTCTGAGAGGTGATAAATCCCACATTCAGCTTGCTTTATACAGATCTAAATAACAGGAAGCAGCCTTTAAGGTCAGGTTAGTTATATGTCAAAATGGGAAACCTAGGGACAAATAATGTGTCACTCAGGTGAATCACACACAAATCGTGAATTTAGTCACTGATTGACAGATCAGTCTTATGATAAAGCGGCGGAATTGACACGATGTTTGCAACATACACTAAGCTTTTATGAATTCCTTCTCAACGTTCTGGGTCACTTTCGATCGAATATCTTTAGTCTTGAAAACAGTTTCTGATTGTAGAGTGAGATAACTCCTCAAATGTCTTCCAACGACTAACCACATGTTGTTTATCACGAATTATTTCTTCGGCACACAGCAAAGTAACGTTCATTACTATCTCTTTGTTATTTGACTATCATGATTAGTATCATTATGGTATCCGGATTGTGGAATAAATAGAAACTAATATGTATTCATTTAACTCATACTGAATTTGTGTAATTTTAGGTGACCATTAGGTAAAAACCTAAATACTCCGTATTCTAATCTATTAAGTAGAAAAAACCCCATCAAGTTAGTATTCATGCCTCGACGGTCCTCGTTGCATTAGTTCCTTTAATTTGTTATCCGCAGAGTCGAAGAAAATCGGATGTGTCTCTGGGCCGCACGTCTCTCGCATCGCAATCCGAAGCGGGTACGTGCACACCGATCAACGGCAGTCAGTCGGAACCCAACTCTGACACATCGCGTGCACAGTCCGTGGACGCTGTTGGTCCCAAAGATGGACTTGTTTGGTTCCCGGCATCACGGGTCACATTTAAACCGTCCCCACTTACAATGGAACGTTCCACGAGAATGATGCGAAACGCTGAAGCATGGTCATGAGACACAAACAAAATAGATGTGGCGAAAAGTGCCGAAAATAAGTTGAAAACGCGGAGGTGACTGGCTGAGATCCGTAGGCGCAAAANAAACATAGCTCCGGTGAATGTTTGCCATTTCTCTCCACTTGATCATTCCAAAACTACCTGTGAGATCTGCCATCGAGTCAAATGATGCTCGTGTTCCGTTTCCTGCGTCCGGACTGATGGAATTTCACCGTCGAAACTTGAAGGCATTTATCCCCTCATTATTCGCACCCATGCACTTGCTTACCAGCAGACACTGATATGATCATGTGCATGTGAGTAAAAAAAAACATAAGCGTAGTTCATTTTCGACTTCTTCCCCGCTCGGACTACTCATAGTTCACATCAGGCGAAAGAACCTTTTCGATCTTTCACTAAAATTTTAAACATACATTCGACGAACACAAGTGCCGATATAGAAATGTGCTTTCAGTTGTTTCACTGGTTATTGCTGATGGGCTTTACATATTTTAGTTTACGGCCACTTCACCCATTTGGTATTTATTTCGATTGGATCTGTTTGCACTGCTATTATGAATCTGTCGCTGCACACTAACAACTCGTCGCTTTTCTCATCTTTACCCCGTCTCTCCCACCCACCCCCCCTGCCCCTTCATACCGCTTACTGCACCGTGTTGCACTCACAATCCAAATCGTTCATAATTGTGTTTTGTTTATCCCACCCTATTTCTCTGCGCTTCACCGACCCCATGTTGCCATATTATCATCCCCGCCGATTTGCGTTCTCCCTTATCCATATATTGCTCGGAAACCGATTGAAGAATCACGCCGTGGACGATCGCGTATCTGACAGTGATGAACCGACGCTTTTGTGACATCATCCACGCACGCTCTTGTTCTTCACATTTGCGGGCGGGAATGAGATGAACATGTGCTTTTTTGTGGTGGAGTAAAATTTGGAAGCGCCACCTGCCCTCTATCCCACTACAATCGACCTGTTTTGTCCGATCGCGTTAAACAAAGGTGAGACGGAAAACAAACGCAAAGGCAACTGTGCATAACATCTTACGCAGACAGAAAAAGCGAGTAACCAATTTGAAGCATGTTGACATGAGCTGCTCAGTGTTAGTTCTCGCTTTGTTGACCTGCCCAACTCTACATCCCCGGGTGGAACCAGCGGGTCTACGTACAAATTGTAATTTCCCGATACTTCTTTCACAAATTGCTACATTTAGAAGCACACAATTGATGATCTATTTAGATTTTTATTTCAATATTTGAAGACCGTTGATGAACCGTGGGATTTTATCAGTAAATATTGTGCTAGAAACTACGTAAAAAATAGTCAGACTAGAGTAGCACCGGGTGAATGAATGGTAAACGATTTTCTTGGTAATTGCCTAATTTTGATTCAATCACAGATAAAAAAAACATAAGAGCACTCGATAAAACGTACGCTGTATGGTCACCGATAGTAGAAATTGAGTGGATGATATTCGTTGCAAACGAAACAGGAGTAACTTCAATTAAAACTGCGCAAACCCTAGTCCAGTTGTTGGAATTTCACTCGGTTCTGTCAACACGGATAATTCACCTACCGTAAGAGGGACCGAATACGGGATTTGACATCTGATAACGAACCGATCCGCGCGTTCAGAGAGACGCGTTGGAACATAAGCCTTTGATTCGCTGTGTTCAGTGCAAATGTCCGTTCAGCTAGGAGTCAGATTTTTCCCGATTTCGATCATCTCAATTTGGTCACCTGAGGCTCACCAATTCGTCTGCCTTACAAGTTTGAAACAGTCCCGACTGGTTTGCTGCATGGGGATGGAGAAGTCAAGTTCTGTCGAGAAAATCTCTCTCACACCCTGACCGATGCATTTTCAGCACGATTCACCAATACGAACGTTTTGAAAAAATAGCCAAGAGGGAGTGAAAGGAATTAATAAAGCTTTGCAGAAAGTCAGATATAAAAATCAGACAAGATGGGTACGTAACGTTACATAAAGTTTGCATTAGATAGGGAACAATACCGGTAATGCAGTTTGGATGTATGAGAGTGGAGAAAAGCGAATGGGTAACGGTCACGGGAACAAGTAACAGTCTGGAGAACACCAACACACACAGAGATCAGAATTGGATAGTAATCTTTTGATAAACTGGTCACAAGGAAACAAAAGCTTGCGAGCAATGAGGACAACTATCTGTTTGAAATTCAGATCTTTTGATTTCGAGGACAGGATAAGTGAACAATACAACAAAATGAGGAAAATCAAGAGGACAAAATTTAGACTAATGAACGGTGATTTACATCAAGTTTCCAAGTCTTTGTGTTTGAAATAGCAATTGAAATATACGTAGAGCTCAAGGCGTTTATGAAACACTAGATATATGGGGTTTCAGTAGTGGTATAACCACAAACAACGGGACGGGTAAGCTAAGTAAAACGGATCGATACAGAGAGCCATGTTAAAGGTTAAAGGGCATAACAGCAGACTTAAGATAACTTAGTTGGCGCTAGCGGGATTCGAACAAGTTGCAATGATTGACCAGACAGTTTTGAGTGAGACCGATGCAAGCAAAGTTTGAAAACCGACGTGAAAAGAGGACTAGGGTTGACCGTTGCATGAGGCAAATTGCATGCCACAAGAGAAGTAGTTTACAGGTACGTTTAACACGTCAGATACTAAGCAGCAGTCGGTAATACGTTCAGAGAATATGCGACGGTTAGCGAACCGAAGATGGTGGTCTAATCCAGAACGATAAGGTGAACAGTTCCAGCACTCCTATCTAAAACTGAAGCTATAGAGTGCACAACATATGCGACTACGTCAAAAGTCAAAAATGTGTGTTTGTAAGCACACTGATGAGGTACGAGAATTTCAGAGAGGGAAGTTATCCGGTTTGACAACATTCTTTCAAATACTTTCGACAGAGTTGAGGTACGAGCAATTGGTCGATACTCTGAAAAGCCTATCTTGCAAGCGCTTCGCCCTCCAGTAATCGGGGATTGTTCCAGAGGGCACACATAAATCGAATAACTCAGCAGTGTGTGCTGCAAGCTGTTTGGCACAGGTTTGCAATAAAACGGGAGATAATGAGTCAGGTCCGTAGAACTTGTTCGACCTAAGTTGGTTAAAGATTTTGAGAACCTTTCTTGGAGAAACAGGGTTGACGTTTTCAGAAGAATTGAAAGAGGATGGTAGAGAATTAGAACTGTATAGAGCAGAAAGTTGTCGATTTGGTTCTTCCACGTTTAAGGCAGGAGCTCACAGGTTTGCCACAGAGTTAATCCAAAGCAAAGCACATCTCACGACATGTCTCGTTTCCCAAACATGTCTCGACATACATCCGATTCAAGCGTTGAATATCTGCCTTGATGAGAATCGATAGTCGTTTAATATCGTATGATATGCGATCCAAATATGCCTTTTCTGTATCACGGTGAAACCGTTTTAGCAGAGGCGATGAAAATCAGTCATTATATACATATACAGTCTCGATGGGGCAACAAAAAGGGAACCAGAAATTAGGATACCTGGTGAAACTTTCGCATCTGTGTCAAATTGGGTAAAATTCAACATGAAGGTTAACAACTTGGATGGCAAATCTGGACGTTTCAAACAGAAAAAAGTCTTAATCATTATTTTTATCGTATACATGACTAGATCGAAACTGTATTGAAGAGCTCGTGTACTAAAAATAAGAATAATTGAATTACTAACTGAATGATGTTCAAGAAACTAACTCATAGTGGCTTCGAGGACAAGCCGTACAAAAACAGTAAACTGGTGCAAAAACACAATAATATAAAAGGAGTAGTTCAGAGTTTCTCATAATAATGAATGTATTGCAACTCCCTCGCTACTGCTGCTACCTTGAGGTCTTAATGACTGTGACTGGATGCCGGCCGTATCGATCGCTGGCCCCTGTTCCCCATAGATCTATCAATTGGAATCCACCTGCGTTGGCGTAAACTGTCTAGACGCGCCAGTCACGCTATATGACAAACTGATCTAGTGGCGCGCTTGCTCAAACAGTGCTTATAGCCTGTCTGGTGGGTATACATGATTGGACCAATGCACAATGAACACTCTTATCCGTTTTATTCAATTTACTTGGATATTTCAAAGGAGAATTTGTCGTGCATATAGCAAATGAAGCGTGAACTGAAAAGCTAGGAAACATAGGACAGACGTTTAGACCTGGCTGGGTCTCATCAGAAGTGCGAATCTATCGACCCGGCTGGGGATCGAACCCGGCGTCATAATTCCACAAGACGGTGCTGGTCGAGGATATCGGTCTACTGAGGATTACAAATAGGAGGTCAGTAATTTTGCATGCATAACAGAAAAACCTAATCAGAAACGTACTATCGTCGTTTCTGGCGGCACATCGAGTAATGCATAGGGCAGTCAGTGCTATTCTTTCAGGCATATCACTTGGCCCTCGCTGGTCTTGTTATATTTTTGATCATCGAAAATTACCTACTAATCACAAGTGAGTACTATCTCACAGCATCGGGATCTCATGGGCAGGAAGCAAGCATGTTACCCACTCGGCCATCCAGCAGCTGGTCAGTCCGTTTTTCATTTTCCATGTACACGATATAGCACAACTCATCTTTGCGAGCTTGTTGTATTTCTATAGATTACCAGTTATACATCTTTGTTGGTTCAGTATGGGGAATGAGATAAATAAAGTATTTTGAATTAACACTCCATCGAATCCAAAGTGACATGGGAGAAATTGGGCATCACGTTCACAGTACTGAATGCATGTAAGGAGGTTGGGATATTTTGAGGCAAATATAAGTTCACACACCTTCTCAATAAGCAAACAGATTTTCAAATTATCGTGCATGAGTTCAAATACAAACAAGGCTACTAAGCTTTATACAATTCCAACACAAAATATATTGTTCAAGTTGTTGTTTGGCAGATTGAAGTATGTATGTCGAGATTGTGAACGTTCAGTAGCTTCGGTGGGATTCGAACCCACACATGGACACCCTCT